CTAAAAATCCTTAATCATATGTATTGACAATCGAAGGGTCATAAACTCTAGGTTTTGTTGTTTTTTTTTTACTTTTTTTATTGCGTCATTACACACGTATCAAACTGAAGTTGATAAGACTATGGATATGGTGTCAAGAAGGAGAGTTAAAACCACCGGTTTTAATTTCAAAGAAATAGACTTGTGCTCGCAAAATTCTTCAGCGCTGAACTTTTTATATCAGAGATTACATGCTGTAAGTAAGTAGCTTTATAATTGTTAATGGTAAATTATTAGAGTTAAAGATTACGTAATGGTAAATTTTTAGTGTTAAAAGGTCACAAAATTTTCGGCAAAATAATAAATTTTCCGTCATTTACTGTGTTGACATTGATTTTTCTTTTATCGATTCTGATTCATACTATTTGTCAATTATTGGAAAAATTTGACTCTTTGAACATAGAACACAGGAGAAAAACACAAAAACACAAAATATGTATTCAAATTAAATAAAGATAAGATTCACGCATATGTGCCGATAGAGTTGTGTTGTCCATGCAAAATAAAAATAAAAACAGAAATGGAAACATATTACTTGAAAATGGTATCTTAAAACCTATAGACATATATTGGAGCATTTAAAAAGTGTATTGATTATCACAATGATAGTATCAAAATTCAAAACATTATTAAACCTAATTTCTGGAAAATGTGAGAGGGGACTCCCCTTTTTGAGGTAGACATGTTTATAAAAAGACATTATAGGCTATATTTTCCCAGACATATGTGAAACGCGTTATGAATGATAAATAGGCTGTATGGAGAAATCCCAAGCTGAAGGCGTATCAAAACATTGGTGGCGTTATTTCTGGAAAAGAATAACGGAAGTAAAAAGACTTCCATTTTTGAGGTACCTACGTTTATAAAAGACATTAGAGGCTATGTTTTCCAGACGCGCAACGCGTTACGTATTTTAAATATGGCAGACGCGATGGAAGACATTAAGGGATAGAGTTTCTAAGTGGTTCAAAATTTCGTAATAAAAAAATAAATTGCCTTATAAGTGCCAAGGTATCCTATCGTCAAAATCGAAGAGCTAACCTGTATCTCGCAGTGATGCGTGTGATTTTTCATTTGCGAGTTTTGGTTAAATTTAATAGAGTTTTCTGCATGACAATTAATCTTCATGCTTTAAATTGATTGAAAGAGAAAGCCTAAAGGCGTTGAGTTCGTACTTTGTTAGCCTGTCTCTTGCGCCAGCGCGCTTGGGTTCGATGCCCTGGAATGATCCCTAACTGGAAAGATATTGTGTGATAAACTCAGTTTTAACGTGTCTGGGCATAGATATTATATATACACCTATAATATGTATTTATATACAAAAGAAAAGTACGATTAAGTATTTTTATTAGTTACAAGAATAAGACAACATCGTGAAAATGCCTTGAAATTTCTTATATGGTAATAATATGATGGATCATAAATATAAAATTGATGGAACACAAAAAAAACATTATTTTTAAAATATTTTATAACAAACTGGCCAGCCAGTTACCTTTTTATTTATAACTTTAATTTAAAAATGAACATAGGCGATTTTGGTTTTTATTTTTTGACCGATTTCTTTCTGTTTACTCGGTTTCCCTTAGACCATTAAAAATCAATTGTTAGTGGTTCGAGCTCGGTCTGAGGAGAGATATTTAAGTTTTATAAATTCGATAAACCCTCAATTTCATAAGAACGCGCAAGCTTCTATTTGAATAAATATAATATTTAGAATTTGAATATTAGTAAAAGTTATTTTTTTCGTGTCAATAGTAAGCACTAGGTAAAATTAACTAAAATGCCTCATTTAACACCATCACAGATTATTTGGGCAGATGAAATGCGGAGAGACGGTCATAACTACAGATCGATGGCCGCCAGATTCCAGCAATCAACTTCGATGATTCATTGCAGTATTCGACGGTACCGGTTGACTGATTGTCTGGTGAGAAGGAGGGATCAGAAAAAAGTGCTGTTCGAGGAGGGATAACGCGGGAAACACGCGGGTAACGGCTGTGGCTAAAGCATTTTATACCGTTGCGGAATATCCTGACGACGCCAATGTGTGGAGTTAGTACTGTTAGTATTAACATAGGCTAAAATAATACCCGTACCACTATATTGTAGGTCTTTTTAAAAAAGAGCAACTGTTGAGTTTCTTGCCGGTTTCGTTCCAACAGAAACTGCTTTCCGAACCGGTGGTGGCTTACGAACGTATTATTTTTTACGTAAAACTTTGACGTTTCATAAGAACGCGCAAGCGTCTATGTGAATAAAGATATTTTGAATTTGAAAAAAAGTAATAATTTGTACCGCCCGAAGCTCCAAAAGCTCGAGACATACTCTTACTTTATTTCCTACAATCGCTTCTTGTATTTTAATGATCAGTGTTTTTTATATTGTTATAGGAAATCGATTTAATAGTACCTTTGTTTATTATTTATTTATTTCCAAGAATAAATAAAGGAAGAAATAATACTCATGATTGTACCAGTATGTCCGTTCACTATAAATTTCATATTATATTCTACGTCTACTCTTATAAATTTTGACCATGCATATTGCCAATTCATTGACAACTAGAGAGCCTTTTGGATTGACAGTGTTAAAAATAAATATAGTATTAAATTCAATTTTAATTAACTTAATACAATAATATGTTGTACGGCGATTTTCGGCTGTCATATATAATGTGTGTAAATATGTGGTTATATTACTTCTGAACTTCTCACCACGAGTTCTATTTACAGGAACAATCATTATTCTTTTGTATCTAATCAATACTACTATTTTATACGACTTAAAATGGGAAGTTGTCCGCAGTGTTCCTAAGTAAACGTATTAATAATCGCTTTATTAATTGGGTTACAATTTGTAAATGTTGTCCAAATGTGTTATACAAATTGGCGGAGAAATAGTGATTTTAGTCTGTTCAAGATATAAATTGATATATGCATTTAAAAACGACTTGAAGATAATAATGGTGGTAGAATTTCCTAATAAATTTATGTTAAAGTTACCATAGACAACAATATCTTTATTAGACTCGTTTCTTTCCAATTCCTTCTAACGCATTATCAAAAGATTCATACAACGCATTAGGAGGTATGTATACGCATAGAACAATGAAATGCTCAAGCCCTGCACAGTTTATTTCAATGTTCTGCTCAACAGAGAGGCTCACAACGTCGTCATCTTTAAAAGCGATCACCCGGACACTGGGCTTTCACGGCTATAATAGCCAATAATAGAACAAAGTTAAAAACTAGGAATCTCTGTACAGGCGCGGGCTGATAAACTAATTATAGCCATTGTAATATGTATAAGTGTGATAAAAAAACAACGATATACGAATGCAGATGTGTTGCCGACTTTTAATTAAGTGCGCACCGGCTACCTCACTCACCAGACGAAACGCAGAAGTATACTATTTTACTTCAAGTGTGAGAGCGTCGTACTTACGCGGGCGGACCTGCCCATTCGTACAAGAGCGAAACGAAGGCTATTGCGAGGCGCTAAACACTCAAGAGCAAGCACTCAAGCGCACAATAAGAATTAATGAAATATTCAGTAAGTTGTATAATGTGGTCCAGAGATTCTTCTCTATAAAACTGAATTTTTTAGCCGTAGGTTACGGTGTTCGCGCGTGCTTGAAATGAGCTCAGTAAAAGATTAGCAAAACTCATCGTGAATATTCTCTATTAAATGGACAAATACACATAAATTAACCGTCGTGAGTGCTATTGGAAAAATACTTACACTTATTAAACGAATTCTTCGTGGGTCCTGTTCAATAACGCGATGTACGCGCCCCAAAGATTCCACCTATATAAGAACGGGCGCGCGCGCTTGGAATCATAACACTAGCGATTGCCGCCGGAGACTCCCGTTGCCACAGCAACTCCTGCCCGAAGGACGGATCTTTCAAGTCCAGCGAAACGGCCAGAGTGCTGTGAGTGACTGTGTCATTCGGGCAGACCTAACGTCGTTATGCTGTAACTCTCCAAGGTGAGAAAGTGTTTTTAAACGTTTAATAATAATATAAACAGCTGTAACGCGTAAAAGTATGGATGGGGAAGAGCCAAACGAGGTGTGCACATGTGACAGCTGCATGTAAATAAATGTATGGAGTCGCTATATAAACCCTAAACCTGATTAATGCGTTGGAAATAGCCTCTCATGATCATCATAGCAGTTTGATTCCTAAAACAATTCGTACACAAATACAAACAGAAAATAGAGCCTAATCTAATTCTATATTAGTTGTTAGTATTACACGCGGGTTCATGCAAGATGCAATAATATATAGCCACAAATTATCAATTGCTATTATATTACTATCAATTACTATTAATATACACTATGACATAGTGGATGCAACCTGCATATGGGAGAATTTTATACGTAATTCGATATTTTCTTTTTGAGTCTCATTTTATATTAGAAAGCTGATATGAAGTTGGGGATAAACTACCCGTGAAGTAACAGTTCTTAATTGTAATCTGATTTCATTGCTTTCAGAGCTATAGATATGTATGGACAAAAACTTTTTCTTACCGAGTTATATAAAAGCGAACTTTTTGAATTCGTTACATTATCGGATAATCACAGCTGGGAATCGATATTTTTAAATTATATTTATAAGAATTGCTTATATTTACGCGTGTATTAAACAAAATCAAGTTAAACAATTTTATTTTATAAACAATTAATATGTCACTTAAAAAATACAAAACGACTATCATGGATGTAATCTGATCATGGAAATAAATCATAAGAACGTAAGACTTAATAACCAATGTGAATTAAACACAATTCGGGTTTACGCCCAGCCAAAGATCTTTCTATAGAGTTATAAATTAAACACAATGTCATCCATAACTTTATTTCTACATAATCATTATCGAAAAATATCGATGAACTCTGTGACCATTATTTTGTCATATTTCTTAACGTTTGGCTTTTGTTACAGAACCATGTCGTACTATTTGCTCGTGATGGCGTTCTCTTGGTTCGGCGGCGTCAGACTTCAGTACATAAGCGCCGGAGACGCGAGCGAAACTCTCACTAACCCACCCACCACCACGTTCCACTATCCGCCGCTGCCCTACTCGGAATATTTCAATCCACCGGAGCGCGACAACTTCGATAACAGTTACGACGTACCGACACCCGCCTTCGACCAGTTCTACCAAAGCGGCGAGAGCCAGAGATTCTACCTGAAGCGAAATCGCCGGATGAGCAACCGCGGGCAGACGGCCGAAGTCGGCGACAGACGTTGGCAGCCCAAACTCGAGGGCTTCGACAGAGGCGGCTACTTGACGAACCAAGGCGGGGACGAAACGCAGTACTTCGTTGAAAACGTACCGAACAACGGCGATGAGAACGCAACGGACGCGAAATACGAGAAGGCGCTCGAGAAGAACTTCGGCCAGGGGAGAGGGAAGCGCGACGCCGCGAACCTCCAGCACATGTGGACGTGGAAGCGGGAGATGAACGTCCGAGAGCCGAACATGCCGAAGAGGGTGCGCTTCAGCCCGTGGGGCGGCAAGCGGAGCGGGCAGATCGTCCACAAGTCCGCCAAAGGATCAAAGATCATTTTCTCCACGTCCATACCCCAGCTGACGCGTATAGTCACGAACTATTCGCCGAAGGGGGAACAGACGGACCTGAAGGGGTTCCAGTTCGTGCCCGCTCGGGACAAACGGCACCCGATCAAGATCTTGACACTCAGCACGAAGGTCGACGAGCGCACACTGAGGGAGGCGCTGCCGTACAAAGCTTTCATCGAGAGCATACCGAAACTCTTCAAGCCCGGCAACACGTACACAGACGTCGCCCTAAAGAGCGATGGCAAGAGGAAAGTGAAGTTTAGCGCGTGGGGAGGGAAGAGATCCCCGCCGATAATCGGCCCCATATGGACCCCGGCACCGCAGAACATCAAGGAGTCGACGTTAGACACCATCATACTTATCAGGAACAACCCTGAACAGGCCCAATTGATGACCAAAGAATATTAAACACGATGGAAACAGTGATGAAAATTCAACACATTAAGCGTCGATTCAAAAGTGATTGTGGCATATGATGTATTTATTGTTTAAGCGTAATTTAAATAAGGACCATATTAAACATAAATGAACATAATAAATCCTATGATTTACAGGGTGGGGCGTAGGAACCGAGTGTTTTTCGATTGGGTGTTACAATGCAGTTAGGAAAGGAATAACCAATCGTGTAGCACGTTGCGACCTGTTCCTTAACTCGACGCATTTCATTTCCAGTTACGACCATGGAACCGTGGAGGTTAGAGCAATGCATATTTGCGCAAGACTGTTCTGTTAGAAGTGAGTCCGTGACAGTGGTACTGCGTTAACTCCGCCGGGGGAACCAATATCAATCGATATGACTTTGCTTTTTTTATGTGAAAAGTCGCCAAAACGGTTCACCTGATGTTAAGTGAATAACGCCGCCCACGGACATCTGCTACACCCGAGGGTTCCAGATGCGTTGACAACCTTTTGAAAATTGGGCTCCGGCCACCTCACTCACCAGACGAAACGCGAAATTATTATATACTTTACGCCGGTCTTCTATGAGGTCGTGGTACTTACCCGGACGAGTCTGCCCATTCGTGCAACAGCCGAGGCTGCTGCATGGCCCTACCACCGTAAAGCTCCCGTTCGAGACACAATTTAACGATGGATTCATAACTTTCAAATAGGAGGATCAACATTTGACTCGCCATGCAAAAGCCGTCGTACAGTACGATTGCTGATTTGATGTGCAGTGGAATGGCTAAAAATGGGCCACCCGGCCCGTAGCGTCCTGTATGTACAAGAGAGAACATCGAAACGGCACTTGTTAGTCGATTTAGAATAATCTTTATATTTTATAATATATAATTCTTCTATGCGTGTAAGTCGCTGAACTCTACCTATACGACTGGACCATTTTTGATGAAATTTTTGTGTGTCTTCGTCGATTTGAGAATGGTTTACGTTCACAATTCTGTCCACTGCAATTGTTTTTGATTTTTTTATTTATAAGTTGTTGTCGGATTTAAGTCGTGTGTACAGGACGTCTGTCGGGTCCACCAGTATATATATAAAAATTCAACGTTCTTTCTAGTACATACAGTACGTTAACGTTGGTGGCCTATTCCTCGGCATTCAGGTGCACTTCAAATCGGCAATTGTATGGTACACCCTATATGGTGGCGAATTAAGCCCCTGCTACTCGATGACTATGAACCAATCGTAACATTGCATCTCGGGCGGGAACTGGGTCGTTTTGATATTATTCTAGTTATTTGAGTTCACGCTGTACCATTGTCACCGACTCGTCAGTTTTAACAATACGGTCATAAACAAATATGCGTTGCTCTAACGTCCACGGTTCCATGGTCGCCAATTGGAAATCGAATGTTTCGAGTTAAGGAACAGGGTTCAACAAGCTGCCCGCTTCTGCCTCTCCTAATATCAATACTAATGCGTAATACCCGATATAAAACACTTGGTTCCTATGACCCAGCCTGTATATTGTCCCCAATGGAGTAACTGGGTTCACTGTGGACAATTTTCGGATATTTGATGACGAAGCCAAAGTTGTTAAATGCATAAATGTTAACAAAACCTGCTAATTACTGTTATATTTATTTGTAATGCTATATAGTAAGATTGATAAAAATCATTGTTGAAATTGTGACTTTGTTTCTTTTATTATTTCCTATAAAATACTTTCTGTGAATTTGTTTTCGAAAAATAAAATTCATTTAACACATTATTAACCTCCGACTTTATAAAAATCATATTACGGTCCAATATAGATATCTAATTTTCAAGCATTACCTGTATTTTAAGCAATAACTGTATAAAAATTGAGCAATACTACAAATATTAGGTTCTTGATTTTGTGCGTTAACCGTCATAAAGCATTGTCATTTTATTTCACTCTTTTGGGCATTTGGTGTAAAGGGCTATATAAAGATTCAATAAATACAAAATTAGGACATATGCTTCAACATGTTTGTTATAGACTCACTTGCAATACATACATAGGTTTAAGCTGAACTTAATGGAGGCTGAGAAATTTGGCTCAAAACGACGGAGGGTAGAAATAAGGAACATTGTGCCACATGGGGTAACAGTTGAAAAAGTATCCAGTTTTAAGCAGTAAATAAATCAAACCGTTTTGTTTGCGGGTGACACTTCACTGTTGTTTATAGTTAGAAGAAAAATTTAAAAGAAAAACGGTTTTCAATCAATAATTTACATTTGAACTGCACTAAAACTTAATGTGTGAGATTTACTCTAAGTTACAACTGAGGTAGGGCCATGCGTCAGTTCGCTGATGCACGAACGGGCAGGTCCGTCCGGAGAAGTACCACGACCTCACACAAGACCGGCGTAAAGTAGAAGTATTATCCTGCTGCGTTTCGTCTGTTGAGTGAGGTAACTGGGGCCCATTTCATTAAAGGGTTTTTTTATGTGAGAAAGTGGCAAACGAGCTGGCAGTTCAACGGATGTTAAGTGATAACCGCCTGCCCATGGGCATTTGCAGCACCCGTAGGGTTGCAGATGCGTTGCCATTTCTTAATGCAAGTGGGCCCCGGCTACCTCACTCACCAGACGAAACGCAGAAGTGTAACTCTTCTACTTGACGCCGATCTTCTGTGAGGTCGTGGTACTAACCCGGACGGACCTGCCCATTCGTGCAACGGCAAACACTGTTGCGTGGCCCTACCACCCCCTTTGCCCACCCTATGTGTGTTGCAAATATCCCTGGGCGGCGGTTATCACTTATCATATATATAAACGTCAGCTAGCTTGCCATATTATCACACAAAAAAAAGTTCTCATCAGCCAAAAATCGTATTAATGAGAAAATCCTAAGCCTTGAGTAATCAACCACATTTCCTTGAATACGCATTGACTCTAAGATGCAATGGGAAGTTCATGAAGATTCAATTAAAATGAAGAATGTTGAAGTCATGAAGATTTGTTTCAATTAAAATTTAAAAAAAAAAATAAGTATTGCCGTCTTTGCCACACGCAAGATCAGGCAGCTAACAATCGAGGCAATAGCTAAATTAGTTTAATATGCTTATTTTCACAGCATTATGTCGTATGGTGTTTTTCTTTGGGGTCCCGCAACCAGTTAATACACAATATTTGCAAGCAAGCTATATGGGCTGCCTATGGTACACAATTTTTGCAAGCTAGCTATATGGGCTGTCTATGGCTTGGGTCTATGTTAGTCACTACGGCATCTTTTTAAGCAAATATAAGTTTTAACGCTCCCGTCGCTGTAGGTACATACATGGCCACGGCCTATTGCAATGTCGAAGGATACATCGAGGGCAAGTATGTTTGGAAATGATTCTTGCTCTGCACTTGCAAAGCCCCAAGCTGCTGTTGGTTTTATAATTAAATAATTTTGTATACTTGTACAATAAAAAAAATAGATAACAAGCACGCCGAATTTCTTACCGGTTTTTCTCTTTTTTTTGTTTTTTTTTAGTTTGATGAACTGGTGGTAGTTTTTTTTATGTGAAAAGTTGTTAAGCGAGCAGGCGGTTCACCTGATTTCAAGTGTATACCACCGCCCATGGACGTCTGTTACACCCGAGGATTTGCAGATACGTTGACACTCTTTTACAAAATTGGGCTACGGCTACCTTACTCACCACACGAAACGCGAAAGTGTTATAATTCCACTGCGCGTCGGTCTTCTGTTAGGGCGTGGCATTTGCCCATTCGTGCAACAGCCAAGGCTGCTGTGTGGCCCTACCACAGTCAATAATAGTTTAAAATAAATCTTTATTCAATAAAGACATTTATGACTTTGATTAAATTAGAAAAAAAGTGCCAATCATGTTTGAGAACGATATTATACCCATTGTATTATATAAAACGATATTATATACAAAAAATTCATAGGATCAGATATATTTAACACCTCTTCGCTTCCGAAGAAAACCATATATACAAAGATATAACCTGATTGTGACTTTAAATATCAGTTCCAAATGCCTCTAGAATGGGGCTTCAGTAGCAAGAGAGCCAATACCCACATGCTTCCATAGCGCCACCAATTTAACGCCTTTTGGCGGACACTTTTCATACAAAAAGATTGTCCCCTTCCCGCTAGGTTTAGCTTCGGTTTAAAGAATTTATTTCCCAAAAGAATATTAAATAGTTCACTTAGATGAGAAACTTAATTATTTACAATAAAAGAAAGAGAGAAAGGTCATAAACAAAGTGGAGTTCGATCTGCCGTAGTTATAAAGTTATCTGTAAGGATCAGTTATTAACTAAGTGCGTCATCAAAGTATTTCTAAAGGCATTAATGGATATAGATTCTTTTTCATTTTATGGTAATTTATTATATAGTTGAGCTCCCTGATACTGTATATTTTTCTTTCCGTTGTATGGTTCTGATCATAGGTAGTTCTATGTTATCTCTGTTCCGAGTATAGTAATGATGAGTTTTATGTTCAAATGTGATTTGTGAGTGAATGTGTTTATTTAGTGTTTATTAATGTGCATGTATGGTAGTTATAAAGTTTTTTAATGTTTAGCAATTTAGTTTTATTATAAATTTCTTTGGTCGGCGTTTTAACCTTCAGGGGTAATACTATACTATAGTAGTGAATATTAGGTCTTTATAATTTCTCTTATTTACTCGAATATTACATTTTTTATTAACCAATTTACAATAATTTCATCAGGGCTTGAAACAATTCAGTCTACCCCGAGAAAGTCGTGAGCTAAAAATTAAAATAAAAACAACCCGATAAAACATCATACTTACTAAAAATTAAAGCCAATCTTTTCTTTATACTACTCGTATTGATAGTGAGTTATATGGCCGGCCCGTTGAATCAATTATAATACATTAAGCTTTTCATGATGAGGAGGAAAGGTTTTTGAGTGATAGCCTCTTACTGGTCAACGCAGTGTAGGGCGACCCCTCACTAGAAGCGATTGACGACCTGTGCAAATGTGCGGAAAGT